TTTCCTGTGAGGTTAACAGAGGCCACACACCCTTGACTTTCCCTCTCTCATTCCACTCAAAGGCCACAGCACTGTAGAGCCCAGGGGTTTGCAACTGTGCCACACATGGAGTAGAACTGGGAAGACATAACGTTCAGGAGCTGTTCTTACCAGGAGACCCAAGAAGAGAAAGATGGTTTGCAGGGAAAAAAGATTAAAACAGATGTGCACAGAGATGAGGCCAAAAGATCATGACTCTGAGGTTCCTGATCTGTTTATCTGCCATTTCTGGTTCCTGAGAGCTGGCCTGCATTCTCCATTCTTGCCATGAGGTTCCACAAGACAGCCTTAAAATAAAGCCCCCGTTAACTGTCTAAGCTAACTTGAATTGATCTCTGTTGCTTCAACCAGAGTCTTAATGTATAGAGAAATAAAGCAGCTATCTTTGTCAGCCTTAGAACAGAGAGGATGGGGCTGGCCCCGTGGTGTAGTGGTTAAGTGCGCGTGCTCAGCTGCTGGCAGCCTGGGTTGATCCTGGGCATGCACCAAGGCACCGCTTGTCAGGCCATGCTGTGGCGGCATCCCACATAAAGTGGAGGAAGACGGGCACAGATGTTAGCCCAGGGCCAGTCTTCCTCAGCAAAAAGAGGAGGCACTGGCATGGACATTAGCTCAGGGCTGATCTTCCTCACAAAAAAAAAAACAACAGAGAGAGGAGCACTTTTGGCATTAGCCCACATAACCTACCTCAGGTATGCCAAAAGGACCTGGCTGCCCAGGGATCAGGGCAGATCCAACAAGCCCAGCTCTGTCTGCACAGCAGCGCTGTCCCTGTCACAGCTCAGTGGTCATCTATCTAGCCTCCAGAGATGAGCTGAAAGTTACACGAGGACCTGAGAGGATGCCATTTCCACTCACAACCCTCTCTCCACAGCACTCAGGATGCTGTCTAAGCTGGGTGGGTATCCCTTACACTCGGTCACAAGATTCCTGGAGCGGGCAGGCACTGCTTCTGATCGGAGTACACACAGTAGCTGAGCCTTTAACAGTTCACGTACGTTTATTATAGATTTGCGTACTAAGACAGTGGAAGTAACTAGAAAACCTTTTCTTCCCTTCTCCTTACTGTAAAGAGATGATCTTAGTACAGTCATCCACATCACGAAGTTTGTCAACGATGGACCGCATATACGATGGTGGTCCCATAAGATCAGCACCACAGAGCCTACATGTGTGGTAGGCTGTACCATCTAGGTTTGTGTAAATACATTCTGCAATGTTCACACCACGACGACATCACCTAACAACACATTTCTCAGAACGTATCCCATTGTTAAGCGATGCATGACCGTAAGCTATTCAGCAATCAGACTTTTTAAACAATCCAACACAGAAATACTCAGTTACATGTTTTAATTAGACATAACTTCTCTTTTCAAGAACACACAGGTTCTTTGGTGAAGTTTATTCCCTGCCACAACATGGTATCATTGGTGCAATGTTTGCAAAATTATTTTGTCATCGTGAAATCAACACTTTATCTGCCAGTCCATATATATAATATATATACACACACACAAGAAATATACATAAGAATAATATATCTATCTCTATGAATTTTAACAAAGGAAAAAAAGCATATTTACCAAATGAAGTGACCAGATTTACTTACAGAATTACTGCCTGCTTCTCGTTTTATTTTTGGAGCATCCAGGTCAACCCTGTGCCTTCTAACTTTATTCCAAAGTAAAGCACCCTGAAATAGGGACTCTCGGAGTAAACAAAATTAGCAAAATCTGATCCCCCCAAAGCCCTTCCTTTTCAAGCCTCTGCAACCTCATCCACAACCTGACATCCCCAAATCAACTAAAAACACAGCACAAAAGAGTCACTCCTTCTCCTCACTACTGTGGAGACCAGGCTCCCTGCAGGGACGGGACCTGTTCAGCAGGGCCCTCCTAGCAAGCACGCAGGTTCCTTTATCCTAGAGCTCGAGGTCTCAGGCACTGCAACCTTCAGGAAAGCAGCCAGGACAAAGGACATTTTACTTTCAAGTCTCTACAAATTCTGCATACACATCAAATAGCTCTTGGGCTCCTATTCTTTTTTCAGTTTTATACCACTTCAGTTCAGTAATGTTCCACTATAATCTCACTTTATTCAGGCATCTTTTGGCACGAGTGAAGTCATCAAATGGCCACAACATTGTGTAAACATTTCAAATCGAACTGAATGGATTTTAAAAAGACAGATGACATCAAATTGACACTCGATTAAACTTGCTAATGGAAGGCAACCATGCCATACAAATGCAATCTTGGCCTAATAACAATTTTCTGTAGAAAACTTGTTTTCCTAATTTTGCAGTTTTGGGCCAGTGTCTAAATTGATTTGAATCATCTAAACATATTTATCTAGCTTTAGAAGGAGGCTAGGCTGAGAGCATGGTGGACATTAGAAAATAGGATGGGGGCCGGCCCTGTGGCTTAGCAGTTAAGTGCACGCACTCCGCTACTGGGGGCCCAGGTTTAGATCCCGGGCGCGCACCGATGCACCATTTGTCTGGCCATGCTGAGGCGGCGTCCCACATACAGCAACTAGAAGGATGTGCAACTATGACATACAACTATCTACTGGGGCTTTGGGGAGAAAAAGGGGAGGGGGGGGAAAGAGGAGGATTGGCAATAGATGTTAGCTCAGGGCCAGTCTTCCTCAGCAAAAAGAGGAGGATTGGCATGGATGTTAGCTCAGGGCTGATGTTCCCCACAAAAAAAAAAGGAAAATAGGATGAGGATTAACAATTCACCTTGAAAATCATTCACCTTGAAATTCAGTTACTAAATGGCTACCTGGATTTTCTTCATTTTAAAGACAAAACAAAGAGAAAAGCATTAAGCAGTTTATCCAAGGACATGGCAAATCAGTCGAATGACAGGAACTAGAATATGCACCAGTCTTTAAGCAAGGGTGTAATCCACCATGAAATACAAATAACTAGAGAAACTTTTTAATCCAGATTTACTGGACGAAATTACTTTTGCTCAGATCAAGTGGTGGCAATACAGCTGAAAGATGACTTTATGAGCTATTGAAGAAAAGCATCAAACCTTTCTGAGCAGAGCAGAGGAGCTAAGAGCACGGAGCCTGGAGCAGAGCAGAGGAGCTAAGAGCACGGAGCCTGAGCAGAGCAGAGGAGCTAAGAGCACGGAGCCTGGAGCAAAGGGCCTACGTCCATCTTACAGAACTCACTTAAGCTCTGAGCCAGCTTCTTCGTCTCTAAAATGGTTCTGAAGATTAAAAACATGTAAGCACAAATTATGTACAATTCAGCGTGCAACATGTCCTTAACAAATAGTAGCTCTGAGGATTATCAACCTACAATGAAACTCAAGTTTTCTATAAGCTTAGCATTTTTATTAGTTTGTCTTACTGCCATACAGACAGGCAGGGTGGAAACAGGATTTGAAATTAGGTGGACCTTAAACCCAGTTGCTGCTAGCAACTTACCAACAACACTTGCATAAAAGTTCGTAACAGTTCTGAAGCCAAACCGCCTGGGTTCATACTGGCTCCAACACTGCCACCTGCATGCCCTCGGGCAGGCTAACTTCTCCTGACCTCGTTCCAGTTCCCTCACCTGTAGAATGAGGACGTGCAGAAGAGTCATACGGCAGGCCTGAGACTGTGGTCCTTTGAAAGGCCTGCTGACAAGGTTGGCCCTTGGCTGGCATCTGGGAACCTCGATTTTGGAAGGGTATCCAGCACCAATAACAATTAAGAGTGGCTCACTGTGCCTAAACTTTATGCAAACAGTTTGGACCGAACACCCGCTTTCCTTCTGGGAGACTGAAATTTGAGTACGTGCCAGGCAGAGGGTGCCTATGTGACCAGCCCTTGACAGAAACCCTGGGCACTGTCTCTAAGGAGCAGCCCTGGTTGGCAACATCTCATGCACGTTGTCATGACTCATTGCTGGGGATCAGGCGTGTCCTGGTGACTCCCCTAGGAGAGGGCTCTGGAAGCTGTGCCTGGTTTCCACGTGGCCTCAGCACCTTTCCCTGTGACTGTGCTCTGTATCCTTTCATGCAAGAACGCTTAGCTGTGAGCACAACCACGTGCTGAGTCCTAGGAGACCCCCCAGTAAGTCATCAAAGCTAGGGGTGGTCTTGGGGACCCCCGACCCAGAGGGTAATAACAGTACTCACTGCACAGTACTGGCATTAGGATTACACTGGTGACGTGGGTAAAGCAGAGTAAGGCTGATTCATATTAGCTCTGGGCAAAATGGGGCCATAGTGCCTGCCTACCTTTTAGTTGGTGATAAAAATTGAGATAATCTATGTCAAAACATTTTCCAAAGAGTAAAGAGTTATACACATAACAAGTGGCACTGTTGCTTTTAAATTGCAGGTATTGATTATTATATGTCATTGCTAATAAACAGTATCTGCTTGCTGAACACAGACACAAGCCAAATCCCAAACACACACTAGGGTACCAAGTGGATACAAAAAACACTCTTCCTCCCTTTGGTGGGAGAGATCTCCTCAAGAACACAAAACCTTGATAATATTACTACTATCTATTATCGTCTGTTAGGCAGTTCTATCCATGACCTGACAACTTCTAAACGCGATTTTAGGAAAGAGAAAAATAACTCGAGGAGAAAACAAATTTTATTTAGGGAGTGATAAAACCAGACAGAAAATTATTTATAGTGAGGATCAACACTGTATTTGACTTTCTTGAAACAATTTTACCCTAGAGCTATGAGGTTACACTGTTCTGCTTAATAAAATACTGACAGCTTAAAAAACGCTTCTGAGAAACTGCATCCTTAATAGCTGAAGAGGATCAAGGAGGCAAGCCTTCGTCCTGAGGCCTCACTTCCTGCTCAGAGGATGGCAGGATTGGAAAGCCACTCTGCAGGAAGGTGGCTGTATGCGCACATAGGCACAACACAGGGGAAAACACGGGATAGCCCAGAACGCCACAACGATGGTCTGACTTTGAGTCACTAAAAGAAGTTTTATTCCAGTCTTCTCTTACTTTTCTAGTATGGCTTTCTCTACTCTCTTAAACTTCTTCAGTTCAACAATCACTTCCCAGTATCTGAGATACAGCCACATGAGTCGCCCATTCTGGCGTTTGTTGGTATTCCAGACATCACCACAGTATGTATCATGCTTAAATATGTCAGTCAAGCCAGCTGCCATCTCTAGGTCAGCAGCAACGGGGTCAGTGGATGCTCGAACCAGCAAGCTCTTCTCTATTTCCAGTCTCTTGTTGCGAGGGAGAATCAGACTGCAGTAGATATTCTGTCTTTCTGTCAGAGCATCTTCAAACTCTTTCAGCAGAAGCCTGGCTCTCCTTTGCCAGTCTTCCTCCTTTTCCAGGCAGCTCAGATATGCATTTCTCAAGGGCTGCAACTGTCTCTTTTCTTGCATGACCTGAGCCCGTTCCTGTTCCAGCAGCTTCTTTTCTTCTACCAACCTGCGCCCCTGAGAGATAAGGGCTTCTCGATAACTCGTCGTTCTGTTTTGTTCCTTTTCAAGTTCCAAAGACAGCTGAGCAACAGCACGCCGATTCTCTGAGATCATGGCATGGTACTTAGCTTCAAGATCCTGCTGGAAAGCAGCTGTTCTCTGACGGTACGCTTCTCTCTCTTTCTCTATTTCTTTTTGAGACTCCCTAGACCAAATCCAACCTGACATGAATACATTGGGGGAGAAAAACACACATAATGAAAAGTCAGAGGTGAAGTTCTACAATCTTTAAAGAAAACATAAAGCAGCTAAGGATAGATTTCAATAAAACCATAAGCCCTGAGAGATATAAAAAAGGTAACATTTTGTATGAAACTATATAATATACAAAGTTCTTATCTTAAACTCAGATAAAAGGGGGCCGGCCCGGTGGTGTAGCAGTGAAGTTCGCGTGCACTGCTTCGGCAGCCCAGGGTTCACAGGTTCGGATGCCGGGCACAGACTGACACACCGCTTGTCAGGCCATGCTGTGGCGGCGTCCCATATAAAGTAGAAGAAGATGGGCACGGATGTTAGCTCAGGGCCAACCTTCCTCAGCAAAAAAGAGGAGGATTGGCTGCGGATGTTAGCTCAGGGCTGATCTTCCTTACCAAAAACAAACAAACAAACAAACAAACAAAACAGATAAAGGCTCCCAGAGGACAAGCAGGACAGGCTGCAGGTAGAGTCTGCTCGGTCTTCTCACCTTCTATGGTCAAGAAAGTCAACCACCGCTCTCCCCTGCTCACAAACATCCCACCATTTGCCTGCTCTGGCCACAGTGCCCCACGCACTCTCAGAAGGTTTGAGAATTAACATGGGTATGCTTCAAATATTGGCCAGGTTATTACAGAACTAAGTTTCAAAGCGTGCTCAGCTTTGCCTGGTCATCATTAGTAAAGAGCCAAAGTCCAAGACGTTTGCTTACATTCCGATAAGGGTACATAAAAATAAGGTGGAGTAAGAATTCAACCTCAAGACATGGTTTGGCTCCCTTTCCCCAAACCAGAAAATGCTGGAATCTCACAAACATGGGACAGAAGAGTGAGGGGAGGTTGGGGTGGGTAACGCCCCACTCTGACCCACAAACTGAGGAGCAGCCAGGCCTCTGTCCTCTACTGCATGCAGAAATCCAGTGCCCGAGGATCCAAGGACAGAGAATGGGAGTCTGATGACCCATAAAGCCTGCTGGCCAGCAGGCGCCTGATTCTGGATGGAGTCACCAACTCTTTTGTCATCCCACTGACGGTTAGGAGTTTGGTATGATTCGATAATAAAACAAAAGACAATGTGGTGATACTTTCACTGGTACAGGAAATCCACCACATTCTGACCTGATGCTCTTGCTCAGTAATTTAATAAACGTTGGGGCAACTCTACGCTGAGTCCTAGTTTCTTACAATGATAATTTGCTAAAAGCAGCATGGATCTGAGTCCCTTAGAAAACAGAAGGACTGTTCAGCAAAGCTTCAAAGCCCAAGGTCTAAAAGCCACCAAGAGCAACAGTTTAGCCTGAAAGCATTATTTCTGCCCGGTGCTCAAAACGAGGCCAGGCTGCTCCATGCTCCCCACTTTCTTTAACTCCTACAGTTGACATCCCCCTCTGGAAACCACTTCATGGTCCTCTTCCTACTCTTGCTGGTTCCCTACCCCTCCCTAACACCCAAGGTGGTGTCCTGGCCATTCAGGACTCTTCTTCCAGGTCCCTGGAATCTTACCTAGCCCCGGACACCAAGTCCACCACAGCCCTATTTGCACTGCTGCCACCTCAATTCTACAAGCATAAAACCAAACTCATTCCTCCTCAACTAAAAATAGCTTCTAGTCCTATTTCAGTTGCTGGCTCAAACTTAAAAGTGCATGTCTCTTTATCTCCTCCTTTTGCCAAAGAGTTCACAGGCAGGGGAGCTGACCAGTAAAGAAGCAGTCGCCATATAATTTGATAAGGACTGAGGAGCAGAGGAAAGAAAGGCTCATTCAGTTTTGGGAGGAGTTAGGGAAGGCTTCATAAAAGAGGGGAACGTGAACAAAGTCTGGAAGTTGGCAGGAAGGGTCCCTCCAGGTAGAATGAACAGGTACAGGAGAGGGCATCACATGTGCTGAGAGCAGACAACTTCCAGGAACGGACGTGCCTGGGGAACAGACTCTGGAAAAGTCAGCAGGTGCTACATAACAGGAGTCCTTTTAGACTCTGATAAGGAGGTGGAGTAATCTGACGTGACATCACCCTGGTGGCAATGTCAAAGATCTGGGACAGAGGGTAAGGAGGGACATGAGAAGCAGGGAGCCACTCCTGCTACAATCCAGGTGCAATCTAGTTAAAGTACTCCAGCTTACACACGGAACTAGTGGGACTGACACAACAACACATAGAACTGAACATTAGGGGCCAGCCCAGTGGCACAGTGGTTAAGTTCAGCACGCTCTGCTCCAGCGGCCCGGGATTCACAGGTTTGGATCCTGGGCGCGGACCTACACCACTCATCAAGCCACGCTGTGGAGGCATCCCACGTACAAAACAGAGGAAGATGGGCACAGACGTTAGCTCAGGGCCAATCTTCCTCACCAAAAAGAAAAGGATTGAAAAAAAAAGAATTGAACATTAGACTACACATACAGGCTGCAGTCATAGGGAAGTTTCTGGTAGGTCACAATTCATCAAGAAGGCCTCCTGGAAGAGGTGGGACAGGGACGTGGAGACATGCGGGGTGAGGAGATTACCAGGGAGGTGTGCAGGAAAGTGCAGTATGGAAGGATGGAAGTCCAAAAAACCCTAATTCTGGGTCTAGTCTGGGAGAATCTTGCCTTACGACTTTGGGCAGATATAACTTTTTGGAGCCTTCATTTCAGAAGGCATAGAAAAGAGAGATGGGACTCCTGCTTTTGGAAAAATGGAACAGAAGAACTCTCCCCTATTGTTCCTGCTAAGAACAACTAAGAACGCTGGACATGATATGTAAAACAAACACAAGAGGACTCTGAAAGGCGGGGAGCAGCAGGCAGACTGGCGAGGGACCTTGGGACCCAATGAACGCCAGGGTGCTGGGTCCCCTGGGGTTTCATTTTGCCTCACAGATCCCAGACTTAGAGCTGAAATGCCAATAGGTGCAGATTTCTTAAAAAGCCCCAACAAAAGTCTGCTCTCTCTGGCTAAAGGACTAGGAAAGGGGCCTAGCAAGACTTTAGATAGTGACTGCTCAACTCCCGCCAAACAGCACAGAAAACACTGTGGCCCCACCTCCATCCACATGGGTAAAGGCTGAGGAGAGCCTCTCCTGTTCCTCACTGGGGAGAGCAGTAACAAGACACTCCTATCTCTCTCAGCCAGGCCAGGCGGCATCAGGGGAGCCCGGGAAGGCTGGACCTCCAGCTCTGGCCCAGCGGTAATGATGGGATCCCTGCCCTCAGTGTCAACCAGCTGGAGGCTGAGTGGGGAGCCTGGACTTCCCCTCCTTACCCTACCTGGGAGTAAGGAGGCAGCACCACGCTTCCCAACAGAGTGCTGTCCAAGAAAGGCAAAAAAGGGTCTGAATAAAAACTAGCATCTCATAATACCCAAAATGCCCAGGTTGCAACTGAAAATCATTGTTCATAGCAAGAATCAGGAATCTTTTAAATTGAATTAAAAAAGATAATCAGGGGCTGGCCTGGCAGTTACTGGTTAAGTTCACATGCTCTGCCTCGGTGGCCTAGGGTTCATGGGTTTGGATCCCAGGCGCAGACCTACACATGGCTCATCAAGCCATGCTGTGGCGGCATCCCATATACAAAATAAACGGAGACTGGCACAGATGTTAGCTCAGGGACAGACTTCCTCAAGCAAAAAGAGGAGGACTGGCAACAGATGTTAGCTCAGAGCCCATCTTCCTCAGCAAAGAAAAAAAAAAGATAATCAGTAGTTGCTAATACTGAGATGACGGAGATGTTAGGAGTATCTGACAAAGAGTTTAAAGCAACCATCATAATAGAAAGTCTACACAAAGAAATAGAAGATATTAAAAAAAGCAAATAGAAATTTTAGAACTAAAAAATACAATAACTGAAATAAAAAAACAGGGTGATGAAATAGATGTGAAGAGAGAAAACCCTGCCAAAAGGCTGAAATACTCAATATATCCCTTATGAGCATGCACATGAAGATCCTGAACAAAATATTAGCAAGTATAACTCTACAATATATATAAACAACTATATGGCATGACCAAGTAGGGATTATTCCAAAAATGTAAGACTGGGTCAATATCCAAAAATGAACACATGTCCCAACATATTTGCAGGCTAAAGAAGAGAAACCACATGATCACATCAACGGACACATCTGACAAAATTCAACACCCTTTCATGATAAAAACTCAGAAAAACAGGAATAGAGGACTTCTTTGTCTTGATAAGGAGCATCTACGAAAGACCTTCAGCTAACATTGCACTTAATGGTGAAAAGACTGAATGCTTTTCCTCTAAGATCAGGAACCTCAACAGAGTCCTGGCAGCTCCAGCCAGTGCAAGAAAGCAGAAAAGGAAATAAAAGGCAAACAGACTTGAAAGGAAGAAATAAAACCTAAGTCTCATACTTTATATAAAAATTAACTCAAAATGGATCATGCACTTATATATAAAAAGGTAAAACTAAAACTTAAGAAAAAAACCAAGGAGAGAATCTTCAGGATCTAGGGGTAGGCAGAGTTCTCAGACTTGCCACAAAAAGCATGACCCATAAAGGAAAAACTGACAAACTGGACTTCATCAAAATTAAAACTTTTGCTCTATGAAAGACTCCATTAAGAGAATGAAAAGACAAGCTACAGAATGGGAGAAGATATTTGCAAACCAGAGAACCAGCAAAGTACTAGAATCTAGAATACAGTAAAAACTCTCAAAACTCAACATTAAAAAACAATCCCAATTACAGAATGGCTGAAAGACAGAAGCAGACATTTCATGGAGAGGGCATACGAGGCGAAGATGCTCCACATCGTTAGCCACTAGGAAAATGCACGTTAAAACCACAATGGGTCTCGCTAGACACCTATCAGGACAGAGGAAATAAAAACAGTAGAGTCCTCACCAAATGCCGGCAAGGACGCCAAGAAACTGGATCCATCACACACTGCTGGTGAGAACGTAAAATGGTACAGCCGCTCTGGAAAACATTCTGCACTTTCTTAAAAAACTAAACATCGACTCCCACGGAGGCTGACAAGAGTAGGCAGTTTTTATGATTCAGTGATCTGCACAGTGCCTGCTTCTTGGTGAAAGACTCAGCAGACCCAAACTCATCCCTAAGGGTTAGACGCTCACTAGCCTGTCATCTTGCAAAACACTACTTAACACTTGGAAAGGCTACCTGTTGCCCGTGGCTAGGGTGATGAACTTGGTGAGTGAATCAGAAGGCTTAAAATTACACTTAGTAATGTAATAATCAATTAGTTTCGAGGCTAGGAGAGGCCCTGAAGTGACTTTCATTTACCATTTGTTTTACAGACTCATCTCTAGCTTTTACAGTCTTTCATAATAACCTTTACTTTTGAAGTTCTTGCCTTCCTGGACTTTTGAAATGATGCTCTCTGTCCCTGAGAAGGGTTAAGGAATATTTTATTTTTTCTTCTTGGTTATCTTGCTTAGGTAATGTGATCAGAGAAAACTTTCAACTTTGCATTCTTATCAGGATTCTCCAAAAATGTGTTTTTACATGCTACAGAAATTATATCGCAACCTATGAGTGTTAAGTAACCCCGAGCATAGTCTAAGAGTAAAGGCTGATAAACACTACTCTCGTCAGCCTCCACCTTCTCTAGTAAACCTACAGACCTGAGAAATCCAGGCATGTAAAAAGCCATTCCAGAAAAAGTGTCACTGCACACAGAAGGCAGCTTTTGCTGTTCTTCCATTCAATTATTCAGTTTTTCATATTCTTAAGAGCCAGCCAGGAACTGTGGGACATGACAATATTAAACTAACTCCCGAACACCAGGAAATTTATCATGTAGTAGGGCATATAAGCTAAGGGCTGGAATAATTACAATCGACTGGTGACTGGTAATTTCCCCAAAGTGGTACAAAGGCAATTCACACTAGACAGAATTTCTGGCCAGAAAGAACAGAGGTTGCATGGATGAAGTCTCCCAAAGATTGACTTCCTACTGAACAGACATCCAAAACTGGTTTTCTTTCTTTTTTTTTTTTGTGAGGAAGATCAGCCCTGAGCTAACATCCATGCCAATCCTCCTCTTTTTTGCTGAGGAAGACCAGCCCTGAGCTAACATCTATTGCCAATTCTCCTCCTTTTTTTCCCTTTTTCTCCCCAAAGCCCCAGTAAATAGTTGTATGTCATAGTTGCACATCCTTCTAGTTGCTGTATGTGGGATGCCGCCTCAGCATGGCCAGACAAGCAGTGCGTCGGTGTGCGCCCAGGATCTGAACCCGGGCCGCCAGTAGCAGAGCGCGCGCACTTAACCGCTAAGCCACGGGGCCAGCCCCAAAAACTGTTTTTTTTAAAGCCTGTTTTATTCTTCCATATCAGTCCCATGAGAGCAACTGCAGAGCAGTGAAGCCTTGAAAGGGAGCTACCAGTTGTTAAAACCCACTCCACACAAGATGCTTCTAAACCTCTTGTCCTATTGAACCCTCACAAGGCATCCAGGTAATTATGACTAGCCCCTCCCACAGAGAAGAAAACCTAGACTCAGTGGGTTCAGCAAAGTGCCCAAGATGCACAGTATTGGATAAAACTAGGATGTACACCTGCATCTGTCAGGTTCCAAAGCCCGAGGTCTTTGGGCTCCACTTTCAGCACAGAAAACGCAAATGAAAGGAAAACCATGACTTACGAAAAGCAGCCAATCCCAGCATTGGAACCAAAAGGGCATAATTCCATCGGCTTCCATCACCCCCATCAGCCCTGGAATTAGGCCGGATATTCCAATTTGGGGGGTCATTTAAGTTATTCATGGAGATATACCTTAAATCAAAGAATAAAACCATTAACCATACAAAACGAATAAAATACATCTGTCACAATTATATCATCTACGTGGCTCATATAAATCCTTTTTTTCTTCCAAAAAATTTTGTTAGGTTCTACTTACGTGCTGCAGAGCACTGAACCTTATGAGATAAAAGAAGAAAAAAATGAGACCTTAAACAAAAGCAACTCACCATATAGTGGGGAGAGAGATATGTCTCAACTGAAATACACGTAGAATGAGGTGCGTTCTCTAGTATAAATACCCTTACAGTTATGTTTTTAAACAAAGATACAAAAATAGGAAGGTGTGAAAACACTGGCTTCTTCATGAAATGCTGAATAGCATTGAAGGACTGAGGCAGAGTGTGGGGGGGACTGGGAAAATGCTGGAGGCAGCTTTCATTCCTCCCGACTTTGGTGGTAATGAACACCGCACTCAGGGATGTTTCTGCTCAAAGCTCATGCTATATCTCAATAACTAGGCTGGAGACTCATGCAAACATGAATTTACCAATTTACTAAGTATGTACACCAGGTTGGGCATTTTCATAATACAGAGTCACGAGGACCTTCAGCTTGTTTCTCTGTGACTACACAAATATACACTGATTACAAATGAAATAATCAAGGGACACATAAGAAAAAAAGAATTCAATTAAATTTTGAAAAATTTTAATGGGTTTTTCAATAAATACTTGCTTAATTACCTAATATAAAATTCTAACTAGCAATAAAGAAATGCCAAAACAAATATGGCTCAGGACTTAACGTTAAGGAGTTTGTGGTAACCACATAATAAATACATTAGTTATCCGAAGGAACTAAACCGCCTAACTTTCAAAGGACGTCTGGGAAGTAGCACGTTCATTCCCTCGGCCAATAAAGCCCACTTCCGGGGAAATATATAATTCTAATAAAAGCAACGTAATCCTATATAAAGACAAACCGCTATGCACAAATATTCTTTATGGCCATATTTATTATTAACGGCAGAAAACTGAACACAACCCAAATGACAATAAAATGGCAACGGCCCCTTGGAACTTAATAAAATATTCTAAATTACCTTGCACACAATTGCGCACCAGAAAGGTCCTAATAACCTCAAGTTCAGCGAAAAGCAGGGTCACGAGCACAACAGCACTCACGACTACTGGGTCATTCCCCACGCCCCGCCGCGCCACGCGGGGCGTCAGATGCCGCAGAGAGTCAGATGCCGCAGAGACACGGGCGCCAACGACACGACGCCGGGCGGAGGGGGACCCGGCGAGCCAGGGGGGCACTGAGCCCGGGGCGCGGCCGGACCCGCCCGGCCGTCGGCCCCTCCAACGCGGGGCTTCCCCCGGCCGACCCCCGACCCCCCGACCTACTCTACCCTCGACCCCCCCCCACCTACCCCGGCTCCCCGGCCCTCAGGCCGCCGGCCGCCCGACCAACTCCGGACACCCTGACTCTCCAGCCCCCGACCTACTCCTGACACTTGGACCCCCGGAGCCACCCCTCGACCCCACGACCTACCCCAGCCCCCCGGGGGCCCAACCTACCCCGGGGCCGAGAGCGCGGGACCTCCGCGTCCCCTGAGCGCCACGGTCCGCGGGTCTTCTCTGCGCAGGCGCAGTGCCCCCACACCAACCCCTCCCAGGGTCGCGGAGTGGTGCGCAGCCGCAGTGTGCTCTAGTCGGTCCCAGGTGCGGCGTGGTGCGCAGGCGCGATGTACCCCAGGCCCCGCCCCTGCGCGACGAGGTGCGCAGGCGCGGTCTGGCGCAGGGACTGGTGGGACGGCTTGCAGAGGGCAAAGATGTCGGGGGTCCGGATGGTGTCGCGGTTGCTGCGCGGCAGGCGCCTGGCGCTGACACGGGCGGTGAGTCGGTGCCGCGGGGCGAGGCGGGGTAGGGCGAGCCTTTGGGGCGGAGCGGAGAGGAGCGGACGCCGGGTGCCCGCGCGCCCGGTCCCGCTTGGGACGGGGGGGAGGAGCCGCGGGCCGCCCGAGGGGTCGTGGGGCCGCCGCAGTTCGCGGACTGTGTCCGAAGCCGGCCGCGCCGGGTGAAAGTCAAGACCCCGCGGGCCGCCCCGGGCGTCTGTCCCGCCGGGACCCGGCCGTAAGCGGGCAGGACGCGGTGTGCCAAGGTCATGCAGGTAGCGGCCTGACCGTGGGACCGCGGGCGGAGGCGGGACCACGACGGGCCGCCCCGGGACCGACCCGCCGGGTCCCCGCAGCCCCGCGGTGGGCGGCCGAGGCGCGGCCGGGGGTCGCCTCAGGCTGGGGGCCGATGCAGGGGGATTCGAGCCCCCGGGAGAAGGCGTGGGCCTGTGTGTGTTCGCGCCGAGACCTGGCAGTAAGCGTGGGGCCCTCGCTTAGGGTTTGCTTTGTGCACCCTTCCAGAACAGACGGAGGGTTTCAGCACACTGGCTGCAAAGCCGCATTTGGGCGAGGACGCCGGGACGTTTGTTTTCCTGTGCAGGCCATGCCCACGGACTCGGGCCAGATTACGTCAGATGTACCCTTTACAGTTACATCTTCAGAATCGATAGTTTAGGGTTTTATTTAGCACACTAAATTTAGGGAGTTTAGTTATTTGGTTGTTTTGAGTGGTCTCGCCCACCCACCTACTTAGTAATTTAATTACAAAGTAAACGTCACAGTAGGAACCGAGGCATTCAACAATATTGACTGGACTTATGTCTGTAATTATTCCTGCGGTTTGCTGCTTTTTGGAATATAGGTAGTAAAGATTATGTTAAATGTGAAGGTTTAGTCAGGCAGCCATCGCCCCGACACCAGCTCCACTTGTTGCTATGGTTGGTGCTTACCGAGCAGAGCAGAGGTTCCCCCGCCCCCAAATCTTGGGCTCTAAGACACAGTGGTAGGAGGGAGTCCACAAGCAGAAAGTGGAAGGCCATGGTCAGTGGGGTGCTTTTAGTCATCCAACCATGAGCAGACTTGTGGGTGCTTCTTACCTGCTAGGTGAAATGACAGATTGATAACTGGTGGTGATTGGAGAAGAGCTAATGTCTGTCCTCAACCCAGACTGGTACCCAGCAGTGCTTGTGCGGACTAAGACCCCTCCAGCCTGCAGAACTCCCCTCATCCATCCCCACCCTTTGTCAATTTATAAAAACTTTGTTGTCCTTTATCCAGGCTGGACTTGAAGAATTTTAGCTCTGAGCTTTTAGCTAAAAGTGAGAATAAAGTTGTAAGTACAACAGGTCAGAGTGTGTAAGCCTCTCCTTTCATGTTGGCTTGATTCCAACTGATCTTGGTTGAATCAGCTATTAGCTGCCAGTGCTTTACCTTCATTATCTCCTTGAATCTTCACCTCTGACCTGTGTTTAGGTACAGTACTTGTAAACATGATGGCAAAATAGAGATAGCAAAATGGAACCACAAGTTAGGCCTACCAAAAGGATGGTCTTGGGTTTTTAAAGTCTTTTTATCTTGAAGATAGCTTTTCCCATGCAAATTGATTCTGCCCCAAGCAATATATTTATTGGAGCTTAAGATTGGCAAGAACAAAAGCATCAAATTAGCAGAACAAAAAAGAAAACTGTGTGATTGCCAACTGAGAAATGTCCCTGGAGAGTAGATGATGAGGGTAATTTGAATAAAGTCCACAGACAATTTTTCTTTATCTCATTTTGTTCAAGGCTGTGGTGTTTCCAAGTCATTTTATATTTACAGCTGCTTTCAAGTCACAAAATTATCAAACCTATTTTGCCTTTGTTTCCTTTTCAGTTGCCCCAATGCACTGACACAATTTGCAAACTGTTCCAAAGTAGTTTAATCAAAAGGAAAAGTAAAACCAAGGACCTTAGTCATTGGTTAATTGCTCACTTCAGATGAGAGTTTTCAAATCTTGTCACATGAATATTCAAGGTATTGTTCTGAATGTGTTTTAATATATCTAGAATTACATTATTTGGGCCATTGTATTAACCTTTTGTTTTGCGTTTTGGGGGGATTATAATGGCAGTGGTATTCAGTTCTGTATTCTATGTGATATTTTTCCTGATTTTCAGGCCACTTGAAAAATTGTGGCTCGGTTTTGATACATAACCTGGATGTTCATCTTAGTTTGGAGTCCCCGAGATTTTTCCCAAGGGTCCTTAGATAGTAGGGAAAGTAGAGGATCTGAGCCAGCCAGGCAGACCTGAGTCCAGACCCTGCTTACCCTGGATAGATTCAGTTTCTGTCTTGTGAACTGTATTTTAAGCATCCCTGTTTTAAAAGCTTCTGACTTTTTTGTGTGTGTGTGAGGAAGATCTGCCCTGAGCTAACATCTGCCAATCCTCCTCTTTTTGCTGAGGAAGACTGGCCCTGGGCTAACATCCATGCCCATCTTCCTCCACTTTATATGGGACACCGCCACAGCATGGCTTGACAAGCGGTGCATTGGTGCGCGCCCTGGATCCGAACCGGCGAACCCCGGGCCGCCGCAGCCGAGCATGCACACTTAACCGCTTGCGCCACTGGGCCGGCCCCTAAAAGCTTCTGCTTTTTAATGACAATAATTACACATAGTTGTAAAAAACAACAACAACAAAAAAAAAGTCAGTGAGTACAGAAGTCCTTATAAATGAAAAGGAATAGGATCTCCTCCCTGAGACCTGTTCCCCAATGGAATCAGTTCTGAATTGTTTCTGATATTGGCCCCTGGTATTTACTTACCTCCATTTCTCTAGCTGATATGCAAGGTGCATTTTTATCCATTTTAGATGTTGACTTTTGCTCATAAATGAGGATTTAATTCACTTAAACCATCCTACTTCCTCTGTCTTCATTCCTCCCAATATAGTTGTGCAACCACTTTCAGATCCTTTATTGGCTACTTTTGTAATTGTGTAGATTGTACTTACAAATGAGTTTCTTGTTCATGATTCATAGGTGTATTTTATTAGATGAGGACTCCCCACTTTGCGAGATTGAGGATATCAGTATCTCTATCCTTCTCAGTTTTTTCTGCTTTTACCTCCTAATTCAGTCCTCTGTACTTTATGCTGTTAAAAAGGTCTAAGTATTCCTTTTAGTTCTGCCTTAGGTAGATTTCCCCATTCTTCATGTTGCCCTTTTAGAAAATGATAGTTTCTCTTCAAAAAACATTAGATTAGGGGCTGGCCTGGT